CAAAATTTAATATTAGAATTGGAGTCCGAAGCTCAGACGAATTGCAGGGTTTAGGGCTTCAATCTTGGGCGATCTTATACAGATATAGTCTGGTGTAGTCAAGACAGATCTCCAAGGGCTTGGTGCTTAACTTATGTATATAATTGTAAGTGTGGAAGATGGTGTCGGGTAGACGGGAAAGCGCGCGAGGGATTAGCAGCAGAGGAGCCAGAAGATGATACTCGGAGAAGACGACGATGAAAACAGTTCTTTAGCGAACGAGGGCGAAGATTGGAAAGCACGTGGAGCCGCGGACGGTGGACGTGGCGGGGTGCAAATTGGAAAATAGAATAAAAAATGACATTTATATTACCAACACGGTTTTCCCGAACAAAAAAATTCCTAATTATATTTTTAGATAAAATATGACTAATCATTGTATATGAACAATATTATAATATATTTCAAAGTGAAAAGTCATTGATAGATGATGACTCACTAATAACTAATCACTAAATATCACTTTTCAGAAATTTTTAACACAAGTCATATTTTTATCTTTTCAATTTAATTTGGTAATATTAATGAAAAAAAGACCAAGAATATCCTCAACATATTTTTTACATATCATTTTATTTAAACATTAAAAATTATTATAATCAATTTTTTCTTTGATTTATTTTCCTTTTTTCTTTTTTTTTCGTCAAAGTGGCTTTAAATTAATAAAATACGGAGTAGCATTCAGCAGGGGTACATGATAACAAAAGGACAACATATAACAATTTGCCCTTGGCCGAGACTCTGAGTTAATCACATTTGACAAAGCAATATAACTCGTTATACCTAAATTGGGCAACAAACAGCCATTGACGATTATCGTATACCTCTCATCCCCCAAACCTAATGCAAGAGTTAGCATAAAAGAAAATAACAACAAAACACAAACGTTTTAACTTGGAAATTAAAATGCAGAAAAGATAAGTAAGCAAACTCCAAAATGCGGCGATTAACCTTTGGCGGTGGTTTTGGGGGAGGCCGGACCCTCGCAACGATTGTTGTTGCCCCAAAGCGATTTTCCTCTGACTCGACGGCCCCTTCTTCATCATTGTTGTTGCATCAAAGCGATTTCCCCAGGCGCCAAACAGATGCCATCAGATCTTGGAACCCCGGAAGGCTGATCTTCCGGTCCGTAATCACAGCGTCGACTTCTCCTGACATGGAGATCCCCTCCCTTCGTTCGTCCCCTGCATCTTCCTTTTTGGCCAAACCCAAGCCGCGACCGAACCCTTCCGACGAAGCACAGACCACTGTCGTCGTTCGCCTTCACCACAACCTAAGCACCGTTCTTTGTTAATAAACGAAAACGGGAAACGAACCCCAGCGGCGATAAGCCCTATGGAAGAAACGAGACCCCAGTGGCGGTGAGCCCTAGGGGAAGAAAAAATCGGCTCCAACACAAAACTAATTATTAGAGAAGTAAAGTTAAAGGTTTGATTTATTTTCCTTAATTACTCATGAATTAAAAAATGCACATTTTGAACACATGAAATAAAATACTCCCTCCGTCCCGCAAAATAGTTCTCAGTCTCCTTTTTGAGCCGCCCCAACAAATAGTTCTCATTTCTACTTTTGGAAAGTTTTGTGTCGCTCACATTCATTTACCTTTTTCTTACACAACCACAATCATACATTTCCACTTTATTCTCACCTTCCTAAACTCCGATCCAAGTCAATGCGGGAACAGTTTTATGGGACGGAGGGAGTACTACATAAACTTGGTTCACATAGAGTTTGGTTATGTGTAGAGGGAGTTTTTTCCACTTTTAGTCCTCCGTCTAATATGTCATTGACACTTTTGGTACTCGACTTTGATTTTTTCCATTTTTTGTCCTTGACTATTGCGATAGAGACACTTTTGGTGCCCGTCTTTGAAAATTTTCATATTTAGTCCTTCAACTTTCATAAAAGTGACATTTTTTATCCTTCAACTATTATAATAGTGACATTTTAATGCTCCACTTATTGTGTCAAAAGCATAATGAGATGACTAAAAGTGTCAATTTGACAATACTCAAGGACTAAATGTGGGAAACCTTGAAGTCAAGGACTAAAAGTGTCTCTAGCACAATAGTCGAGGACTAGAAATGGAAAAATTAGAAGACGAGTACCAAAAGTGTCATTGGCATAATAGTCGGGGGACCAAAAAGGGCAAACACTCTTTGTAGAGCCATTAATTAAACATTAGTGTTCCGTGTAGTTTTTTAGCCTGAAATACTCTAGCAATTAACAGACGGAGTATCAATTTTTAAAAAACCTTTATATATGCAATATAGGTGTCATATGAAAGATCTTAAAAATTATGAATTTTGATATACTTTTTTTAAAAATTGGAGTACAGAAAGAACGATAACTTTCAATAAATGGAACGACTTTTTCTCGACCGCAACTATCTATGTCTCCGACCTTTTGTCTTTCCTATCACGTTTTTCTATCGATCCCATTCATAACAGCCTCTCCCCTCCGCATTTCCACTTTCCCTTTGCTCCAATGTGCTGCAATATATACTCGTAGGAGTCTAAAATTTCCATATTTTACATTTTGGACTCTTAAGCATTCCCACTACGTATGGCCAAAGACAATTTATAGGGAAATTTTCACGACCAACCATAATAAGGGAAGTAATATCACTTTTTACAATCTAGTTTCATGTTTCAAAAATAAGCTATGTAATATGTTGTTTTAAAAAAACCAATATATAAACATAACCAAATTAGAAACTCATAGCTACCTGTCGTTTCCAGAGCGCGTAACTGCCGAACTGCAAGTTCTGAGTTGCAAACAAATCGAAAGATCTCAACTCTTCTTAACGTGATCGCGTTTTCTGAGCACAAATTCGATCGTGTTTTCTGAGACTGTGTCAAAATTACCAGGTAATTGCAAAGTACGATTAGCTATCTCCAATTCTACTGAGAAACCAAGGTGCGATTATTAGCTATATGAGAACCAATTTGATCGCGTTTTTGAGCATGAAGATAGACATCGTTTAGTGACTTCAATGTGTGAAATTATGAATGTAAGTTTTGTTTCTGTTTTTGAATAATTGCTGAGGAATAATTTGTTCTGTTTTTTGCAAATTAAACTGATGAATGAATAAATTTTGTTTTTGTTTCTGGAAATTACAATACTCTGTACACTTATTTGTAGTTCTTTAAGAACAAACGATGTGTATTATTAATAACAGGAAACATGGAAACAGTTCCTATTTTTGTTCATCACGATGGTCGTTGGAATGAAGCAATGGAGTATGTGAACTTCAATGTGTTTGGAATTACTTTAGCTACAAACAGTTCTTATCTCGAGCTGATTACAAAGATTGGAGACCGGATTGGAATAGAAAGACCATCAACTACATTGATAATTCAATACAAAGTCAGATAGAATTATCCACCATGGATGATACAAGATAACTTAGCTCTGTTGTTTTATCTACATCTTAAGAAACAAGATATATATGTCACCAAATTCCCTCTATGTATCACCCTTGCTGATGTGCATGAAGAAACAACTTGTAACATGTTTCTTGGGGGATATCAACAAGAAGAAACAAGCTAAGTAGCCTGCAAGCAGTGACAATGTCTGGAGATAGCTCAACAATTGGTGAAGAGTTGGACATTAATGGTTTTATATTAGCTTGGACAAATAAAACCACTGAAGTACTACTGCAACAAAAATGTGTGGAGTTAGCATCAACAAATTGCATTAGCAATGATGTAGATCCTGAAGAAGTACTGATTTACATCAACAAGGATGAGATCAACAAAGCACTTAAGATGTATGCTATCAAAAATCACTTCCAGTACAAGGCACATAAGACAAATAAGTAGTATTTTGTAGCAAAATGCTTGCATGAAAAGTGTAGTTGGGAGATACGATCAGGACAACTGGAACCTTGGGAATGTCATTGTTGTGAAGTTTATAAAAACACATTCTTGTAGATTGGAAGTCAGGTTAACATATCAAAGACATACAACATCTAGTTTGGTAGCAGACTGTATTAAGTCTAAATTAGTGGATCCAAAAACGTCATATATTGCAATGGATGTACACAGAGATATGTTAGAGGAGTATGACATTGAAATAAGCTACTTAAAAGCGTGGAGAACAAAAGAAAAGACACTGATTAAGCTAAGAGGAAAAGCAAAGAGTCCTACATGTTTCTGCAACAATTCATGAGTATTGTGAAACAAACAAATCCTGGATCTTTTCTAGAAATCAAAGTTATTGAAGACAATATTTTTTTTATATGCATTCATGGCATTCAATGCATCAATTCAGGGCTAGAAACTCTGCAGACCGATTATAGTAGTTGACGTCACGTTTCTGATCGGGAGATATGGGGGCACACTGTTAACAACATCAAGGGAGTGTTTACAACAGCTTAAAAAAAGCACTTCTCAGCTTTTGGCTTAAAAAACACTTATTTACCAAACACTACCAATTTTTACTTTTTTCTCGGCTTGCGTGTGAAGTGTTTTTCCCTTTTCAATTACACAAAAAACACTTATTTTACCAAACACTACCAACTTTTACTTTTCAAAATCACTTTTTTCTCAAACACTATCAACTTTTACTACTAATCACTTTTTTCAAATCACTCCAAAAGTGTTTTTTTTTTAAGCATAAGCAGTTGCAAACACTCCCCAACATCCTAGAAATGGTTTTTCTTGAATATTAGAGAAGCTTTTGGTTATAAGAATGGAATGATGATTGTTTCTGATAGGCATGAGAGCATTGCTAAAGGACCACATTGTGAAATGTACTCTCGCAGTCTCGCCCACATTGTATATTTCACCCCTCAAAAGGATTACATTTACAACATTTTGGACAATTGAGGAGTGATATTTATAATCTCAGAAATACAGATCTGAAATTTTAATTTGGATAACTGAGGACAAGTTTGGTCCTAGTAAATGCACATTGAATTCTATGTAGGGTAGTTTTTCAATTGTTGCGTCTGTGTGCTGCAATCTTCTCCAGGGCATCCATATTTAACTACCCCTTCACTTTTATTTATTGATTGACTAAACTAAAAAATTCCGTATATATCCATCTTCTTCACTCTCTGCTTGCTTCTTACAAAGACCCCTCTCTCTCTCTTGAAATGGTGTTTTCTTCCTTAGTCTAAGGTTGTTTAGCTCCTCGATAATCACAGGTATCTGCTAGCTTTTCTTACTGCTTGCCCTCTTCATTTCCTTACACATCTCAGGCCATTTAAAATTTTTACGCACTTATGTCTCACATGTTCATGGATGATAGATATTATTACATACTCGTATTTGCTTGCTAACATCTGTTTGGCCAGAAAAGCTCTGAACCATTTGATGAATAATAGTTGGTTTTTTCGCCAAAAAATATAAACCATTTTTTCCAAAAATCAAAATTTTACATTCCTCGTTTTATTACTTACATAAAACAAGTTTTAGCTTTGGGCGGTAAATCATGAGCGAATAAATTAACAATATGATGGGTTATTACTCTGAATTTATTTTAGTTCAGTGTTTATACCAAATAATACCTAGATAAGCGGAACTTTGAAATCCAGCTAATTTATAAACGGAATTGAAGCCGCGTCCCGTATATGAAGAAGTTGTTTAAAGAAAGTAGAGAGCAATTATTTGTGAATTAAGTAAGTAAGCAAATACCACATTTTGGTTCACAAGTTAGATCTAAAAAAGTTAAATCAATGAAAAGTATGCGAAAAAGCTCTAGTCTGTTTTTCAATTTCAATACCCACTAAACCCAGAACATTATTTTGTGTTGACTTTTAGGGTTTGGGACCACGCACTTTTAATTTTCTCAAAACTAACTTGACCATTTTTTGGGTATTACTCCCACTAAGAGAAGTTGTGTAGGAAGCTAAGCTAGTACTCCATAGGAGCTATAGTGGAGAATTCTAAATTTACCTCCTCATGTGTGTGGTTATATATTGATCACAGTGAGAACACTATCTATCTTATCTATCTTTTTTTTCCTTTCTATCTTATCTATATATATATATATATATATATATATATATATATATATATATATAAATATATAGTCCTTTTCTGGTCAAGCGCGCCTGATGGTAGCTCCGTGCAGATTTGCCCATATGAGGGTCTTCCCGGTGGAAATTTTTGATGACATTTTTTGAGCATGTTTCTCATCAAGTTTGGTTAATGCATACCAAATTTCAGCTCAAAATTCTATCGGGAAGGCAGTCAAACAGAATGCGTAGTATGTTTAGTATATTTGAGTGCCTTCCCAATCGAATTTTGAGCTGAAATTTAGTATGCATAAACTAGACTTGACGAGGAATATGATCAAATAATTTCATCAAAAAATTCCAAAACAGGAATTTGCTCTCTCTCTCTCTCTCTATAAGATATGTGTGTGTTGTTTCTTTCTTTCTTGCGCTTTCTTTAAATGTATTATCATTACAACAACAACACACAAGCCTTACCTCACTCCCAAAAGAGTTTGAGTGCAGCAGCATTATCAGTGTATAATAATATACTCCCTCCGTCCCGATAGAAGGTTCCCACTTTCCTTTTTTGGACGTCCCATATAAAGGTTCTCATTTCCATTTTAGGAAACAATTAACAATCTTAAGTGACAAATTAATCATTAAATATTAAAAATAATACATTTATAACATCACAATTATCAATACTAACTACATTATAATATATACCTATTAAAATTATATCTCAAAATGTACACGAAGTACTTTATTTAATTATTGCATAAATAACCGTGTATGGGAACCTTCCAACGGGACGGTAATTAATTAGTTGTAACAGTGCCGGGCGCAGGTATGATGAGGCGAAGGGGACTCAGTTGCACTCCACACAAAAGAATGATAAGCATCGACTTTGATGAACAAAACAGAGGTGAGTAATAATCGGTTAGTTTTCTCATGCATCTATCCTTTCCTTTTTATTAGTCTTACCCAAATCCACACAAAACAAACACACACACGCGCGTGTCTTATGTCTAATAGCTAGCTAGTAGCTTGCCATGCATCTCCTTGATATTTATGATGAGAAACGCTTTTATAAAAAGTTAAACTGTTTTCTTGCTTGAAATAGTTGCCAGTTTCTATTTCTGTCTATCTACAATTAATCTTATTATAAACTAGCATAGCTTATTGTATGGGAAATACATTTTTCATTTGCACATAAAATAGACATTTTGTTGTTGTTATTCTTTATTCAGCATTAGTATTACAAAAAGTAGAACATTTTTTTTGGGAACAAAGAAGAGTCCTTCCCTGCTCAGACATTAGTGGCGAAACCAATTGGCTTGTTTGAATGAATTATTGTTTGTGCGGACTGCACTGCACTGGACTGGACGGCTAGTTTGATCCACTCCCACCCATAGTGACCCATCACCTCACCTCAATGGATATATGAATTTCCTAAACTTAGAAGATGATTGGACCAAACTATTTATCTGTCTATCTATCTCAAAATATAGACAGAAGATTAAGTGACATTTTCCTTTTTGAAATTTTATTATTATCAAGTCCAGATTAATACTACGTATTAATTAGGGGTTCTACACTAATATTATTAAATGAAAATTCATGAACATAAATGAGACTCATTTTAAATATTTCCAAAGAAGAGATATATATGACTATTACACCCCTCTCCCGATTACACAAGTCTGACGATTAACAATTACTCGACCCGATCAATTAGAGTTAACCGATCCAACCAATTATTGTTATCACATCCGATCAGTTACAGTTACCCGACCGACCGATCTGTTACATTGACCCTGGCCAAACCATTTACAATTACCCACCGCAACCCTTTAAAGTTACCGGTCTTATAGTGAACCCCTCCCACCACCTCCAGTGACCTACCACCCCCGCTTCCGCTTCAGATCACCACCTTCGGAAACCACCTCAGGGTGGGGTCGAGGTAGGGCAGGTGGTGGGGGGTAAAGGGGTAGGGTCAGGATAGGGAAGGGGTTAACGGGTGGGGGTAGAGGTTGGGGTCAGGGTGGGGTCAAGGTAGGGGCAGGTGGTAGGGTCAGGGTAGGATAAAGTGGTATGAGTGGGGTGGGTGTGGGGTAAGGGGTATGGTCAGCGGGGGTAGAGGTAAGGTAGCGGTGTAGATGGGTGTGTAGGGGGTTGGGGTGGGGTCAAGGTAGGGGTAAAGGGGGTATGGTCGGGGTAGGGTAAAGGGGTACGAGTGGGGGTGGGGTAAGGGCTATGGTCGGGGGTAGGATAGGGGTGTATGGGTCGGGGTAAGGTAGGGTGGGGTATGATCGGGGGGTCGGGGTCAAGGTAGAGGCATGTGGTGGGGGGTAAACTGTAAAGGGGTACGAGTGGGGGTGGGGGTAAGGGTATGGGGTCGGGGTAGGGCTATAAGCGTGGGGTCGGGGTGGGTAGAGGGGTTAACAATATGGCAAGGACAAGGGGTAAGTGTAAGGGTAAATTGGGAAACTGAAAAAGCTTAAAGTGACGTTTAATTAATACATGAGATGGTATGCTAAGCGACACTTTAAGCACCCCTTTCGATTAGTAATCAACTTGCGTGTTTACTTCACCTATCTTACCAACCTAACTAAAACACCTTATAAGTGTTTACTTAGGAGACAAAGTAATGGATAACGATGAAGTAAATGATTGTTTTTACTTTATGGATGGACATCTTAGATAGGACCACTTGACTACTTGAGTATTTGGGGGTTAGGTTTTGTTCAAATTTTCTTTTCCACTTTAGGTCACGAGGCATTGAATCACTTGTAGTGGGCATTGAATTTTGAAATGCTTCCCCTCTTCTCTGTTTGGACATTTCTGCTATTCAGAAATGAGCCATGTGGTTGGTTGGTTGGTTTGGTATATTTCAAATCATTTTGCCCCCCCTGCGGCTCACTCACGATGGCTTCCTTTTTCCATTTTTCAAGCACTAAATCCTCTAAATAGGTGAGTAAATATATGGAACACACTAGCATCTCACTAAAGAGCAAGTTGACATGATAAATAATCTGAATGAACTCAAATTTTATATGGATGAATCTTACGCTAATGTGCTCTGTATTGAGCATGTTGACATATCCCATAAAAGTACTCCTAAATAGACTCTCCTTTACCTGCTTAGGCAGGCCCATATAGTTCCATACTATGTGACCTCTTCCCGGCTCATTTGATCCCCAACTACGTTTTTGGTCCAAGCTAACCAAATATGTGATTTACCCACAAATATTCTAACAGCTTTATGTCTTTTTTTTGTTGAACTAGATTTTAAACGCGGTGCCAATAAAACGTAGAAAATGCATATTCAGTCGCCTTGGACTGTACTCTTAAATGACAACTTGATCATCAAATATTAAAAATAACAATGTATAACATCACATACTTTGCAATTATCACCATTAACCCCATTATACTATATACCTAACAAAAGGTTGTTTCTCAAAGTATACTTTTTTTTTATCGTTCAAAGTATACTTGATTTATCATATTTAATTATTATCTACTCCCTTCGTCCCCATAAGTTTGTCCCGTTTTACTTTTTTCGTCCGTCCCACTAAGCTTGTCTCATACCATATTTGGTAATATATGAGTGGTTAGAATTCATTCTTACTTTATTCACACTTTATCAATTTAATATCAACCACACAATTCTACTTTTTCTTAAAAACCACACCACACCTAGGGCTGGACTCGGGCCGGTTCGGGCCTGGGCCCGGCCGGGCCTCGGGCCAGGAAAGGGGAGGCCCGAGCCCGAACCGCCGGTGGCCGGTTCCGGTTCCGGGCCAAACCGGGCCGGGCCGGGCCGAACCGGCCCAATTTTTTTTTTGTTCTCCTATTTAATCCCCTACCCCTCCCCCTCAACCCCAAACCATCCCAAACCACCTCAAATGGCCCAAAATACCTAATTCAACCTAAAACTTAAAAAAATTTCAAAAAAAAAAAAAAAAAAAAAAATTTAAAATCCGGCCCGGACCGGGCCCGAACCGGCCGGGCCGGTTCACCAAAACCTGGGCCCGAGCCCGGACCGCCCAGCACCCGGGCCGGGCCAAACCGAACCAGTGGACCCACCGGGCCACGGGCCGGGCCGGGCCAAACAGTGACCGGGCCGGTTCGATCCCGGGTCGGGCCGCCCGGCCCGAGTCCAGCCCTAACCACACCCCTTTGTCCCAAACTTAGGGGGACGGAGGTAGTAAATAATTGTGCCATTTTACAATGTCAACCTTTGGATGGAGCTAGTAGTTAGTTTCAATTGTATAATTGTATTGTTAGTAGTATTTATTATTATCTGATTAGATACTGTAAACGTAACAGCTATTTACCTATTTGTGATGAAAATAAGACCAAATCAGGAAACATCACGTGATAAAATCTAAAACTTTGTGACTTACGGAATCATTGGTGCTAAAGAACGGGACCAAGTAAGCAATGTTGCCAGTTAAAACACTGAAACATTTAAGATACAAATGATGCCTTTCTAAATGGTATGGGTGGTTTCATCAGTTACAACATATGATGGACTTGAGAGGTGCATCAAGCAAAGTCAATCCTGTGATGATGGCAATGAAAGCTCCGCTAGCAGAAGCGTTACTACAGACTCTTCTTTGTTTGATGATGATGCCAGCAGCAGCAGCAGCAACACTTCTAGCAACAACACTGCTTTTCAATCATCATCACTCCTCACCTCCTCTGATTGGACAGCGGCTATAATGAAGCGGGAACCTGAAATGTGTGAATTCTCAGCAATCCCTTCCCCTCAGCAACCCCACACCTATGCCAAGGAAAAAGTAACTGAGTGTCTGGTTGTGGTGGAAGCAATGAAAGTGAAATTCTCAAAGTTGTTGCTTGGGGAGGACATGACAGGGGGGAGCAATGGGATTTCAACCGCACTCGCTTTATCAAATGCCATATTGAATCTTTCAAGTAAACCTCCTCTTACACTATATATCAAGTGTGTTTATACCCAACTCGGTCCCTTCACTACAAACTATTTCTATTTCTCAATTTAGTCATGGATTATGCCAATCAGACTCGGTTTTAGTACTCATGCAAATTCTGCAGTAACTAAGGATGATACTTCCATACGTTGATGACCACATTAGGTTTAAAAATACACACTTGAGGCCCCATATGAATTTGAAATCGGGTCTATGTTTAGTAATGGACACAACAATCCTTTTTAATTAGCCCAAAGTTTGCATGAGGATTAATTAGAGTCTAAATTGCATAGCCATGAACCATTTTGAGTCTAAAATAAAGTTGGGGACCAAATTGAGATAGGAATAAACCAGGTATTGACTCACAATAATACAACCTCTGTCCCTAAAAGGTCATGTTTCATCAACTAAAATTAGCTTCTTTTATTGAGAAAGGAATCTTTTTTTCTTTTGCAACAAAAGTAAGTTTTCAAACACATCTCTACTTTTTAGATAGAGAGGCATATAATATTTGTTTTTTACTTCTAATTTTGAAGATGATGTGTGGCATGAAGGAGTACACACTAACACTATCTATAGTCTTGTATTTCTCTCCTTATAGTTAATACTCCCTCCGTCCCATTTTACCTGTCCTACTTTCCTTTTTGGGCTGTCCCAAAATAAGTGTCTACTTTCCTCTTTGGAAAAGAAATATGTGGTCTACACCATTTCACTTTATTATATTCAAATCTCAACCACAACTTTTACTTTTTCAACCACTTCATTAATAACCGTGCCAAGTCAAACTAAGACACATAAAATGGGACGGAGGTAGTACTTAATAATAATATTAATTGTGTAAATTCATTTTTATTTTTGCAGCGTCTGTTTTCGGTGAGCTGCGGAAACTGGAACCGCTTTCTGAGGAGAAGAAGAGAATATGGCAACAAGAAATGGAGTGGTTTCTATCCCCAACCAACTATATGGTTGAGTTGGTACCATCCACCCAAAATGGTGACAATGGCTGCATTTATGAGGTGATTTTCATCTTCTCTTCTCTTAATGCATGCACAGTGTATACAGTGTACAAGGTATAATGAAATATAAACAATGCTGAGGTTCTTCTATAACTTGCTTTGGCAGATAATGACACCAAAAGCTCGTCCTGATGTTCAGATGAATCTTCCCGCCCTTCAAAAGTTGGACACCATGCTTATTGTATGTGGTTGATTTATCATATCATATAAAACACGTTTAAAGGCTCATTTGGCACACTATAAGCTAGCTTATATGTTACATACGTCCCACTAACACTGAGACATGGAGAGGTGGCACAGTTATTAAAAAAGTGTGTTCATATGGTTGATATTGAATTGATAAAGTAAGAATGATTTAAAACCACACAAAATTTACCAAATTTGGTATGAGGCAATCTTAGTGGAACGGATCGAAAAAGAAAGATGTGACAATATTAGTGGGACGGAGGGAGTAATAGTTTTTTATATAAAGCTTCTGAAATAAGCTTGTTTTGTTGGTGATCTTTATAAAGTGTCTTGGTGATGTGTCTTGGTGTTGATCTTCTAATAAGCTTATAAGCTCAGGAACTTTTTGGCTTATCACCTGTGAGCTCATCAGCTATTTTTCCAAACAGAGCTTTGGTCATTGCATTGACTAAATAATTTAATTTAAATTATATTTAAAAATGATAGGAAACCCTGGATTCTATGGTGAATATGGAGTTTTGGTACTCAGAAGTGGGTAGCAGCCGAGCAGAAGGGAGGAGTAAACGGTGGTGGTTTCCTTCACCTCAGGTGCCAAAGAGAGGGCTATGTGATGGTGAAAGAAAGAAACTGATGGACACTGGTAAATTGGTAAACCAGATACTGAAAGCTTCTAAAGCTATCAATGAAAATGTCTTGCTTGAAATGACTGTTCCAGCTTTCATCAGAGATGCAATTCCAAAGGTAAGAAGTTTACAACAACCACTCTGAAAAGTTTGATTCAAATAATACAAGCAGTTTCTATTTTACTATCTCTTTTTTAGTCTGGCCCACCCCCTATATCAAGTGACAGTGAATAGTTTCAAATTTATCAGGAGCTCGATGCTAAGAATGAATTTGACTGGAATTACTAAAATGGTGATGGAAGTTGAAAATGCCTATTTTTAAATAAATTGACTGAAAAGCGGCTGAGAAGCCCCAAAAGTGAGCACCTAACAACCCACAACATTAATACCTTTAACTCTGGCAATGTCACCATTTGCAGTCTGCCAAGGCAAACCTGGGAGAGGATCTATACCAGATTTTGACAAGAGAAAGAGTTGGTACATTTGATGACATGGTTGAATCTCTGAACCTGAAAACAGAGCACAATGCACTGGAGACAATAAACAGGTTGGAGGCAGCAATTCTCGTGTGGAAAGAGAAAATGGCAGAGGAAGCAGAAGGCGTTCCAATGTTTTGGTCGTCTTTCATTAAACATCCAAAAACAGTTGAGGTAGTTGATGTAATCAATGTTTCACTGAATCATGCTGAAGCTCTTCTATGGAAGATCAGAACTAGATATCCAAACCTTCCACATACATTCCTTGACATGATGAAGATTCAATATGGCAAGGTGTGGATATCACCTACCATTTTAATGTTTGGTTTTAACTTGAAAAATATGAAGGGCAAATCAAATTTGATTAAGTTTATAATGTTTGGTTTTAACATGGAAAATGAAAGACAAATCAAATTGAATAATTTTTTTATACATTCATATTTCTGTGTTTATATAACTTTTTTCTGTATACTTTCTTTCCTTCAATTTATGAATTCCACCACAGGATATTGGGCATGCAATACTTGAAGCGTATTCTCGGGTTCTTGGAAACCTTGCATATACCATACTCACAAGAATAGGAGCAATTCTGCAAGAAGATATTTTGAGCAACCTAAATTCCCCAGCAAAAGGATTGCATCTTCACGGCGGGGCAACAGTGGGGACCAATGTGAGAAGGCACTCACTCATTGATCAGATGAACAAACATGCCCCTTTCTCCTCTTGTGGCACCAATGCTTCTGATTTGGAAATGGAAGAAGAGATCAACTCAACGAGAGGCTTGATTACTTCTTCAACACCCAGTAGAACGCGCGTTTGGTGTCTCAGCAGAGAAGTCTGCAGAAGCAAGTCAACCAAGAATTTGCCTTAGGGTGTATTTGGTTGTTTCCTAGGCACGCATGCACTTTCACGGGAAAATAAACTCATTCTGAGATATTGTTTAGGGGATGAGTCAAACTCAATCTTTTTATCTTCCAAGGGAAAGTCAACACTTTCTAAGTGAAAGAGACAGTAGCGTCTTATTGTGTATTTTCTGATAGTATGCATAGGCTAACTGTATGAACATTTTACTTCCAAACAAAAGGCAGCTTGTAATGTCAGCAGAGGTGGATGATGTAGTAGCTTTTAAAGGATGCATTTATAGTTGGACCTGATGAATGCTTAAAAGTTGATCAACATTTCAATTGATCATTGGTCTTCCCAGCCACTCAATATAATAAAGATTAAAATAATTATCAGAAAAAATATTTCAAAAGTAAAGGATAGCACAATATCTTTATATATTTAAATAACTAGTGGCTAATTACTTTTATCATGAAAACATAGTTAATTATTGTGAAACATCACTTAAAAACACTTGTCATAATACCTTATGCAAACAATTACCTTCAAACTTCCAAGTTAATAGACTAGCCACTAATGCAGTAAGATAATTGCAAAAGAGGGCCATCTATTGTGGATGAATGATTTCCAAGCAAGAATATGTTCATTCCTCAGCTAGCAAATGGATAATTTAGCATATATAACTTTAGATGCATGAATGAATAGTAACCACCAAACCTCAACACACTGTACTTAGTGAGAGAGAAGATCAAGCCAGTTGGTGATGGTTGTAGCAAGCCTTCTGGTGTCATTAACTGACACATTCTTTAGTACTTGCCCTAAAGCATCTGCTGGGGTATAGACGTTCCCAACTTCCCACCTCAGTTCCTAGTAATGAAAAATATTAAATTAGAGAAGAAGTGAACTCTTAAAAAAATGTGTAATTAGGAAACCATAAAGGACTAAAGAGAGATGCATATACATATAATACCTGAAGGCAGGGTGTAATGTGGTTACCACTTAAGACAGCCTTCTCTAATTTTCCACCAAAAGTTTCAATGCGAGGTTTCAATGTCTCTTCAAGTTGATCCGTCTCGTCTATTGTATCAGAGTCAAACTTAACCTAATTAAAAACACCAATCATACTTGTATATTAAAAAAAAGTGTCAGATCTGTACCCAGTAGAAACTAACTATACTCCCTCCGTCCCATAATGTAAGATACATGTGGGTATGGCGCGGGTTTTAAAACATAGAAGATAAAGTGGTTGTTTTACAATTCTAACCTCCAAAAAGTAAGACAAAGTAAGATGAGTCCACAAAAAGTAAAGGGTGGAATCATTGATAGACTAGAAAGTAAAATGTTAGTGGGGTTCAATTTTGGAAAGTGTTCATATTTTTGGGACACCCCAAAAAGGAAAATGTATCTTACAAAATGGGACGGATGTAATATATGAATTCATCATGTTTTACATTCATACGTCATCATTATTAGTGTACCAACCAGTAGAGTGGACTGAACATTATATAGTTCTCTTATGCTCTCTAGATTCTCAGGTGGCGTTGGCTTGAATTCTGATATCCCTTCAGCAAGCTGGTGGGGGGGGGGGGGGGGGCAAACAACCACATGAATACTAGTATCTAAAATTCAAAAACTTAAGGGGTTGTTCCAGTTAATGTGATATCACATTACTTGGGGAATGTTAGACTACTGGGAATGACTTTTAGATTATAGGAGATATATCATACTTTCATCTTATATAACACATTGATTTTTAGTTTAATACCCTCAACTCGTTTCGGTCATTAAGTTACGTGCATTGATTTAAACTTAACAGTATGATCTCGATAACATAAATGACGGATAAAGACCAGCTTTGCATATAAATAGTTTCAAATACTACTTTATTTGTTATATACTTCCGATCACCTTTATTTATCATAAATAATATACTGGGGGTATATTCATAAAAATAAGTTCATGAAAGTGGAAATAGGCATCAGTGTACAACCCCAATGTAAGGTCATGTTTCGAATGGTCGCGAGTTGGCTGTTTCTGGTATTAAGATTATATAAGTTAGTCACTTACATCTTACATGATACGTGTTGTATAATAAACAAAAACTTACTCATACTTTTACTAATCATGTTAATTTCAGAAAGTGCAAATAGAAAACTGAAAACTAGTTTTCCTGACTTCCAAATCTGGTTTTAAATTTCAGGAAAAAAAAACAAAATCTTCCAACTCGTGCAACCTCTGGGAAAGGGGCCTAAGATAACCTAAAAATATGGGTGGTTTAACTGTTAAGGACACCACCCAAAAAGGTAAAAATGTGAAGTGTTGGGCATGTAACAAGATAAAGTGAACCAAACACCGGGTATGTAGCATTCCAGTGTTGTATCTAATATCGCAAACTACCTGAACCAAAACTCCCTAAAGAAGTTTAATACAGAGCATATAATATCAAAACTGCCAAGGGTTTGCTGATCTCAGTCTGCCAATTAAGATGGATGAAGAATTGAGTCATCAATCAAGTGAAACCTCCACCATAAAGTTACCTCATTAATTATCAAAGGCAATTGATCAGTAAATCTAGTCATGAATGAACCAAATGCTTTCAGGTCATAGTTTGGTACCACCGTTTCAGCTGTATCAAGCAGGAGCTTCCATGCATTTCCTATTGGCAATTAGAAAAAATGAATGAAAGGGGTAATTGGTAAAATACACACTCACTATGCATTTCATCTTTTTTAATAATTAATATCAACATCTAGTCCTGATTGTGCTTATTTAGGAATGTTGTTGATATTATTATTATTATTATTATTATTATTATTATTATTATTTGACATTTGAAAATAGCTAAAGAAAAACATTTCCCTTTTGTGTAATATTTTTTCCTAAAAGCAAAATCGACTATAAGACAATACAAGAGAAGAAATGCAAATGCCAATTAAATATTTTGTTTAGAGATTAAAATAAACTATTTTCTAAGTGCACAGTCATACAAGTATGCTCGAATTTCAGTTTTCTGGGAATTTGATTCTAAATAAGAAGAAAGATTAATTCCTTAAAATGTGACCTTTACCTGAGGCAACCTCAACAACTGAATTAACCGGAAATGTTGCTGCAACTGGCAGCATCTGACTGACAACAAGCCCCAACTGCAAAAATAATAGCAAGTGAGATGAAGTCAAGCCAGAAATGATACATAAGAGTAAGAAAAATGTTAAATTTGTAATAAATAAAAACCTGTTAAATATGTAAAAAGAAACAGATGCCATTTTTATACTTTCTTAAAAGTTCATAAACTTATAGGACAATTTACCTGCTTAAAGTATGGCACTGCCTCTGATGCTGGCCGGTTGTTGTATGATATTATTACATTAGCCTTCAAAGAGCATAAGATATAAACTCCCTCATTTTAAAGTTTTTAGAGTTCACCTAACTAGATAAGGTAATATAACTGATGACTAAACCATGCTACGAAATTAGTATAGAAAAATGTAACGAAATTTAGAGAATATATTGTGAACCTTTGGTATTCTCTCTGAGAAATAACTCCCGGTGAGAGTTTGAAGAAGAGCTCCATTGCTATAAACAAAGGGGTACGAATGATCAGTAGGCATTCGACATTTGTGCGTGTGAAAATATCAAATGGCATCTCGTATTATTAGTAATGTAGCTTCTTTATCGTATGCTTTCTTTATCTTTCTACAAGCACTCCTTTTCTATTTCATGTTTATTCAAATCATGAATCTGTAAAAGGCATTCTTCTCAAAATGTAACCTTGCCAAATATCTCATGCCATAATATTTTTTAAATAAACAATAAATCATTGTCAATTACCACTATTTTTATTTTTATTTTTATTTATTAGTGTTCAATAATTTTTAGAGCCAAAGATTCATTATTTTTTGGTTTGGGAAAATGATGGAATAAAGCAAAATGACTCTCTAAACTGTCTGCGCTTCTTTTTTATGAAGCAGTAGTCAGTCCATGCAATTTCTGTCGCGCTTTTTCACCATGGGTCATCCGGAAACAGTCTCTCTGTGCTTTAGTATAGGGGTAAGGCTGCGTACATCCGACCCCCCCTTACCCCAACGTAGGTGGGAGCCTTTGCGGCACTGGGGTAATGATGATGATGATAGTGTTCAATAATAGATAGTATTAGACAATTCATTGATACGGAGTAGAAAATTTCATTCCCACGGTTTTTGTTGCATGAAATTTGTATCTTGCTTATGGGATTGGTCCTGCTTGGTATGCCTCTTTCCTTTTTCTTTGATACATTGGAGGGGAATCAAGGGATTGTATACCCCTTTTCTAATGTATCAGCCTTATTACACCTTTTTCAAACACTAACTCCTTTCACTATCCTACCAGACTTAATCTATAGGTTCATAATAGAAAAGTCTTACAAAAGTTACTTTGTTCGCTGAAATGGTTAACTAAAGAAAAATGGAATTTCTTCTGCAACTATTAAATACTTTTTTAGTTTATTTAAAAATATACTTCCTCTATTTCATATCACTTGTCCCACTTTCTTCTTTGGGTGTGCTAAATTACTTAACTCGATCTTTTTTCAGAAATGGAAGTGCTGAAAAGCAGAAAGCAGTAAACCTTTAAAAATTATACAGTACTACTATAGTATAAAAAAGTCACAGTTTCTTACACCTAGAAACACTTTTTAAAGGGTGATTTCCCAAAGAAGAGGTCAAATACAGGTGTTTTCTCTAAAGATGAATGGCATGTTTTTCACCTATATGTCAATTAAGTACTGTCATCTCGAATTCATATTGTCATACCAAGATCATATGTCACTACTATATGACAACACTCCGTATTATTTAGGATAAAAAACATAGTTCTCATGTTCAGTTAATCACCTGTGTTTTATATCTATTTAGAGTAACTTGTTTCTTAAACTACATAAAACATTTAGCGAGACCAAGTTGGAAGGAGTACTTTTCAAAGAAAGTTAAGATCAAACATGCAAGTTCAGTCATTTGGACACCGAACTTCAACAAATCCTGCAACTTCAACCCTTTCAGACCTTAACAAATGGGTCCAAGGTGGCATGGTGGATTGATATTAAAACATCCCTCACCTGTAGCATATATCATCCACACTAAGAAGTTGAGGAGAGAAATAGTGAAGTTTTGAATGCTAACTACCTGTGTCCTACAGAATAAAGAGGCAAATCTGAAACCTCAAGAGCAGAAAGCCCTAAATCCGGCAACCCAGAGCCCAAAATCGAATCCAAACAAGAACTGAACCTCTCAGACACTCGCCTAGTGATTTCCGCATGGTCGAACGTCACGTTGTAAGGTACGCAAATGACTAAATACCCTTCCATTGCCAGCATCTCCAGCAAATAACTACACTCTCTCAAACAACATATCACCACGTAATTAAAATCTCCATATTATTAATGATAAAAGCGTCTGTTCTAAAAAAAAAAAAGTAGCAAACTCCTTTAAATAAGAGACCTGTAAGTGACCTCGGGGACGGCCCCGATGAAAGCTCCGCCGATAAATTGGATAATCGCCTTGGGTTTTTGGCGTTTAGGCGGCGGAGGGATCACTAGACAGGTTAAAACATAACTGGGAGGGTTGGAAAAGGTTCTTCCAGTTCTGGCAATGGAGTTTGAGGGAACTCTTCCAGGCGGCATTAAGAATGTCGGGCGGCATCTCGGAGAGGAAAGTTTGCAATGGAAAATAGGTTTACGATTGAAACCTAAGAGGTTGAGAGGAGAACTTGCGGTGGCAGCTGCCATTTTTGTACTCGATGGAAGAGAAGCAGAGTTCCAAAATTATTGTCGATCGCCGGGTTATCTTATCATCCGTGCTTACGTGGCGCCTCCTATTATGAACTTTCTTTCGGTATTTTGTTTGATATGTAACTTAGCGCAGCATGAAGATGCCCAGTTGGGGATGTAGCTCAGATGGTAGAGCGCTCGCTTAGCATGCGAGAGGTACGGGGATCGATACCCCGCATCTCCATCAACCTTTTTGCTCTACCCATTGAAAAAACACACACACTAATAATCCCATCTATTAGCCTTATTTCATCATTAATCCCTACAATATGTGTTATTCCAAATAAGTACCCCCAAAAATATGTACATCTTCCAAATTAAATTTTATTTTTCCCCTCTTGTCCTTCCTGTCGTACTCATAATTTATGTTGCGTTTATTAACTTATGGACACAAAGCTTTTAATTCCTGTTCCATTATTAATTAGTGGGTCCCAATATATTCCTTTTACACTCGAGAATTCATTCTTGTGCCATTATTAAGTCTAATGTCTGAAATGTGAGTTATTGTCTGAATCAGAGACTATTTTCTAAATGTGAATTTTGAAGTGCTAAGGCTGCATTGCTAACTGAATGACGTAGAACCGTTTTGTAAAAAGAACTGAAAAATGCCTAGATAACATAAAATTACATTAAAGGGCATGTAATAAATTATTACAATAAAATGTTTATTATAGTGGTTTTTATTTTAATAAATACTTAAATATATTTATATGTGCACATGTGTGAATGTATATACTATATTTATAGGTTTATATTAATATAAACATGTTTGTGTTCAAATGATAATTGGATGCAACAAGAAAAATAACATAGTGAATACAAACATTTAAAACGTTTCTTCTTTTAGGGTGAATTAGAACATGTTTGTATACAATCCACACAATGGTGATGCAAAAAAAAATGCATGTAATGTGTATGAAAACATAAATACATAATACATAGTATAAATATCCTAAACTTTGAAGAGGTGTGAGATAAATACTCCAAACCTGAATATGTACCCTGAACATATAATGCGATAAGTATTCAATTTAAAATGTTATAAGCTTTATGTGGATGTTGTAACATTATATTCCAAAATTTCATTCGTGAAATAAATAATATTAATCCGGTATAATCTAATTTTAGTTGCATCCTCATAAGTGCCCTTTGTATTTAAATTATGTACTAAAAACCATAAAATTAAATTTATGAAAAACATATGATCATGGTGGCAACATAAATTTTTATATAAAGATTGGGATATATATATATATATATATATATATATATATATATATATATATATATATATGGGATGAGTTCAAGTAAAAAGTAGTCTTCCCATGAAAAGTGAGAATAAATCTTGGCCTTCCATCACTTGAAAATGGATGGATTAGATGAACTTTAAACACAAGAGATGATTTCAAAAATTGTGCAAACGTTTATACTATAAAATGGATAATTACTGATTAAAAGTGTACTCATGCGAGTCAAAAAAAATTATCAAAATTTTCTATCTTGTGCACTTTTTATTTTGTACCGTATTGCACTTTTGTGCTCTACGTGTGCACTTTTTGACTATTCTGATGCACATTTGTCACAATATTTTCAAAAAAAGTTCACCATAATTACAAAAATGTCACCGCGTTTCCAACTTAAAAATTGATCTCTTCCACTCATTTTATCACATCAATGGCCAAGATTAGTTCTTATTTTTCACCTAGGAAGTACTTTTTATTTGAACCAAATTCGTTCTATATATATATATATATATATATATATATATATAGAATTTGGATCAAATAAAAAAAAGTCTTAACGTGTAAAATGAGAATTAATCTCAGTCGTCTTAAGTGTCGATCCGATGCACAATAACCCATATCCGATGCACTTTCGAATAGACCTTATTTGATGCACTTTTCGAAAAGTGCATCAAATAAGGTCTATTCGAAAGTGCATCGGATATGGGTTATTGTGCATCAGATCGACACTTTGGACGGCTGAGATTAATTCTCATTTTACAGAAAAGTGCATCAAATAAGGTCTATTCGAAAGTGCATCGGATATGGGTTATTGTGCATCGGATCGACACTTTGGACGGCTGAGATTAATTCTCATTTTACACGTTAAGACTTTTTTTATTTGATCCAAATTATATATATGTGTGTGTGTGTGTGTATTATGTGCAAGTTGAGATATTTAAATTAGTTTCTCCTATCTATCACTACTAGAAAAAGTCACATTTGTTGCGGTTATTTTGTTATAATTGTTGCGGATCAATTGAAGGGGCATCAATTGTATAATTACTTATTTGCTGCAGTTCTGAACCGCAACAAATACTATTTCGCAAAAAATACATTCATTACCTGTATATATAAAACAAAGTTTACAACATATTATCATAAACACTTACAAAAAAACATATTATCACAAACATAAACCACCCATGCATCTCGTACTTCAACAACTTTTTCTAGTGACAACGCATCAACTCTTGAAGTGTTCTTGTAGACCTAAAATAATAAGAAATTTCAATTACTACATATTAATTAACATTTAAATTGATTATATCTTTTTAACATAACAATAAAAAAGTATTTCTTTCAACCAATAGTGATACAATTTAACTCCAAACCATTGATCTTCCCGAATTCATTTGAATGTCTTCTCGATTGAATTTTTATCTGAAATTTGGTATGAGTAAACTAGACTTAATGAATAAGATGCTCAAAAAAATTCATCAAAAAATTCCACCGGGAACCGACCCAAATGGCGATAGCCGGATAGAACCTCCTATATATATAGATGCATTGGTCAAGTATGTTACATTGAATCTCCTCATACATACATATTTCGTGGTTGTCCTAACTTGACAGTCAAGAATTGAATTGTTGTGTGAAGGATTCTGATTTCTTAGTTGTGTAAAATGTGTGCAGCCAAGCACTGTTCTAAAAGAAACTGTCTCTCAACCACTAGAAGCAAAGTGAAATGAAGGCTTGTCAGCTTGTGTTCATCTCATTTCCCTTTGCCATATACTACTTCCTAACGGGATATCCTAGCGCCATATACTTCGTTTAATTTATTCTACCAAGCCTAAAATAAGAGCATGTGCATTGTTTCTTACTTCGTATTATGTACCAGCCCTGGATATATACATATTGGAAAAATCTTCCCTGCAACTTCAAAGGCACATGAAAAAACAGAAACGATATGGAAGAAATAATAAATTACATTAATTGAGTACAAATTGTATCATGAGGACTTCTGGTTTGACCCTTGGAGAACTCTATGAAGGAATTGATGACATGTGGCAATATTCTTCATAGAAAAAGTTGACATGTGGCAACACAATAATAAAACCATCCTCCTAAATACATTGTTTACAATGTGTTTGCAACATTAATATATGTAAACACTTACAATTATAAGTGAAAAACTATACAACTTCCAAAACTCCACCTGCCCGTCTTCTACTACCATACCATGTTCGTTATTTTAAAAAGCACGTCTATTCTACCATGTTTGTAATATTTTGTATACATTAAAGTTAGGTACACATTCATACTCAATGATAATTCAAAAATTGCAAATACTCAAAAGTAAAAAAAAAATACTTCTTCCGCCACACAAAACATTTTCAATTTGACATTTTTTACTAATGATAGCATAGTTTGACCAATGATATTTTTAAATACAAAATTACGTAAGTGTTATTTTTTAGAAAAAATCACAAAAATATAGAAGTTATATTTTTCACTCAAATATAATAAGGAAATTTATTGTCCAAAGTTTATTACCATTGATAAAGAAAAGTCAATTTGCCCAAGTTCCGTAGGACGGATGGAATAAATAACAAACGCCCCCAGTCCCATAAAACTTGGTCAATTTACTTTTGCTTGGTCAATTTAATTTTTCTTGGTCAATTTAATGATAATAAACTTTGGATTATAATTCTACACTAAACTTGGGTTATGCTTTTCATAGGTCGGGTTGGCACAACTGTCTAATGGCGGGCCAAAGTTTTCTACAACTCTGCCCGAATCCATCCAATATGTGGGTTTCGCGGGTTAGCCCGTAAACAAGTGTAAAAACATACAATGACCAGACACATTGAAAATAATTAACCTGAGGTATTTGTTCATATAAGTGAGTAGTAATAAAAAGAAATATAACAAAACCAAAACACTAAGAACGTCATACTTGATAAGTTAAATTAAAAATATTATTAAATCATAATTATTTAATCATTTGATATTATAAGATGATATCCAACAAAAGTACTCAATATACAAAAATAAGGATATACATCGACATTTTGATCGAGTAGATTATAATTGCTAAAGATTATCGTTGACTATAAAATATAATATATTCTTGAATAATTTATTTGAGTTATGATAGATATAATAATTTAGAAAATGTTGTAAAATAATAAGTATATAATTGCAAATGTAATTGATAGTAGAAAATCGATATTCAAGTCAATGAAAGTCCAAATTAGAAGTTTTCTTTTTTTTAATATTGGCCGACCTGCAATCAGTGTGAGCCAAATTAATCGAAACAAGTGAAAAATGACAATCCTAATACAAAAATAAATGGGTTGAAACGGGTTATCTTGTGGGTTTCGTCTCATTTCAATATATAGCTTCATTCACGGTCAACACAATTCTCTTTTAAATTCTAATTTTTACAATCCTCTTAACCATTTCCAAAATTTGATATTTGTAAGTCAATCAAATGTAGTGTGTAATCTACAAAATCACATACAATTCATTACCTCTGCAGTTTTATTGTATTTTTTTATTATTTTCATTCCTATATGTGTCATAAGAAAAACCTTAAACACATATATTATCATGCGGTGTACGGGTACACATACCAGTATGTAATATAACTAGCATCCTTTAACTTGAGTTAAACAACATATAGAAAATCATTGATTGATGGATGCAAACGAAAGGTGCATATCCAATTTATTCACAAGCGTGATGATAACTAATTGGTCGTTGCTAGTTCTCAATAATCTCTCTGCATTCTTGGATTACAAGTTTATAACCTCTACAGAAGGCTTCCCTTGAGACGAACCAATGCCTTCCATCTCTTTAACCAATGCGTGCAGGGATAATTTTGTCATGGACAAGGAATTATAAAACCAGCTGGATTGAAACGCCTGGAGGAGTAACGTTTGCCTTCAGCTCATTATATTCAGCATAAGCTTAATTCTATTTTAATCCAAACAATGCTATTTCTATTTTAATTAGCTGGATTTGAAAAAGTCCAATCCTTTAAGGGGTGAAGTGGCACTAGCCTAATTCTTGTGTCTAATTGAATAAAATTGGGTTAGAGGAGTATTAAACACTACGTAAATATAAAGCACACGAAAAAGTCATGTTTGTTGTTGCACAAAGGACACCCGGTGCTCTTTTGTCTTTTTGGTCAGTTAAAGCTAAACAAGTTTAAGATATAGAGATAAAGAGGACACACTTTCGCCTAATATTTTGATTACTTAAATACTTAGACGTAGTATTTCTGACAAAACAAAAAAAAATGCATTTATACTTTATTAACAATACACATTCATAGAAACAACAATAGGCAGCAAACGGAGTACATAAAGTACAATTATTCGCATAAAAACTAGGCTGCAAGTTCCAAGGCCCTAAACATTCTCATTCCAAGAACAAAATACAAAGCACAAATTGCATAAAAAAACTACTGTTCAAGGGCTGAATTGCTTCATTAAGCACTTCCAAGTCGCATGAAATGGTAGATGGTAGACGCCCTTCTCGTTCCAACTTTAGCTTGTTGTTGTGTGCCAACTTGTGATTATTCCCTCTGAAATTTTCAATCACTTCAACCATGCATAGTTGTAGTGACAAAAAACATTATCAAGGCTCACTGATATTTCATCAAAAGCCCTTTGAGTAGAAGCAATAAGTTCATCAACATTACTTGGAGCTTCTTGATGTTGTAATGACTTTGATGCATTGTTTGAATTATAGGGGGTTAATGCGCATAACTTACATACCAGCTAGTTTCACACAATATAATAAATCAGAGTGACCACCAATCAAAATGTTGCCTCCATCTTATATTGAATTTCATTATATGGTTTACGATGTTTAATTGATGATAAATTATTTCATTATAGTATGATGATTATCAACATTTAATTGAAATAATTAATTAATAATTTGAAATTTCATAGCCAAATCTATAAAAAGTCGATTTAAATGATTGGACTAAATTGATATATACTCTTAATTTATTGCCTTAAATGTGACTAAAACATAGTCAAAATTTCAGAATAGGACCTCAAGTTTATTATTTTCTTAATAGGACTCCATATTACATTTTTTGCCCTTATATGATTACACCGACCCAACGACTCTTCTCTGGATTACATTCCTTAGCTGATGGAACACTGCTCCTCCACCTGCGATTGAACTCAACTCTTCGCCTCTGCTGCAACATTGCTCCTCCGCCATCAACTGCAGCCGCGCCACACCAATTTCTCCAACTTCGGTTTTATTTATTAACCAATTTTGATTAATTACGAATCTGAGAATGACAAAATTACTAGTATTAATAAGAAAAAGTCACTTCTATGGCATTACATCTATAAAGATGACAGTACTGCTTTGAAATTACAAAACTTCAAAATGTCACCTTTTGAATCGGAGAATGTCATAACTATTGATTATTTGGAAAAAATGTCACTTTTATATCAATACGTTTTTCAAGATGACAATCTTAGTTTGAAATTACAGTATTTGGAATGTCATGTTTCTATACAAAAATGTCATTATTGTGTCATTATGCATATCAAGTGGCATTCTCAATGGAGGTTACAGGAAATTGTCGAAGAGCGGCGGCTTCATCGGAGGATGGCGGCGGCGAACTTAGCGAAGGGCAACAGAGGAGACGGACTTGCTGGAGGATACACTGTTGTGGCACGGGAGGATGGTTGCGACACACACCTAGAGCCTGGAGGATAACTGCGATGCGCAATGTTAGAACACTTCAGGAGTTCAGGATTGCTCCGAGCACTGGAGGCTATTTTTGTCCAAATACAAATATTTGCTCTGGAATTTAAAACAATAGGTCCCATTTTTGCTTTTACCTCATGTTTTACTTATATTTTGAGAATTCTCTCTATACTCTATTGTTGGACTTAAGAGTTAGGAGAATGATTCAAACAAGATCACAATTCACAAGACGTTTGATCCTAACGTAGACGTTTGTTTTTTTGGTTTATCTTTACCCAGTTGAACTTTGAAATTATAAATATAAATTACATGAAGCCATTGATTTGTGGGATTCCATCATCAAGTGGGTTAGGATACAACAGACCCTGCATTAATTGATTAATGCTGTAATAAAAACATCAAATAAAAGTGGTGTCTTAAGCCAACTTGTGGCATGGCATCATATACAACACACACACAAAAAAAAACAAGACTCGAAAACAAAAACTCAAGCAAGCAAGCAAGCAAGCAAATTGAGCAAGTGCTCTCTCTGTCCCTCGACGTCGTTCAAAATGTCAGTGGCATTTCAGCAGCATCACAGCTTCTACCTTTCAGGTTTACAGACATCACCTCGGCAAAGTGGGCAGACCCTACATTCATTCCATTAATCAGTTACAGAGTATATAAATAAAGGTGAATGAATATAAAGCCACTTAGCATTAATGTTTAGGGTCTGTTTGGAACCCAGAAACTGCTCATTGACTTAAAGTAAAACATTTCATAGCCTTAAAGACCAAACTTTGCATGACTGGGAATTGGAGTTTTCTAATTTTTGGTGCATACAGTTTCAGGCATTGACAACCCTTAGAAATTCCCTACCTCAGTGGATTTTCCAAATCCAAAGATGTGCATCATATCCCATTCCTGGGAATAAGACAATCCAAATGAGGCCTAAGAGTAGTATTAGTATACCTGTGAACTTCTTTCAGCCATTTGTCTACACATGTCAAATGAAATTCGTGGTGGCAAGGCATTACTCGCAGATTGTCTCCACCCTCATAGTCAATGAGGCATATGTAACATCTATTGTTAAGTTATAAAAACAAGAGAAGAAGTTAGAGTTTAAAGAAGCTAAGTGCTGGCAAGGCAAGCTTAACACATGCAAGTTGAAAGAAAGATCAAATATTGGCCCGAGTGCATTATGCTAAACAAAAAAAAGTTTCTACTCACTTTGCATCATCTTCTCTCACTTTTTTATCTGAGTTGTTGTAGTACACTTTCACCGGCAAGGATTCCACCACATCATTAGGTGCCGGAAGCGATCCAATTGAAGACACGTGAGGCCGGGAGGATAGCACTAGAGATTGCTGATGAATTTCATCCAGAACCTAAGATATAAGTAAGAGAGCAATCCAACTCATATTGATCTATAAAATGGAATGTATTAAGATTCAGGATTTCATCGTAAAGATAGACCATATGAATAATCCATGATTTTATTTGAAGGTTTGTATCTTTATACTTGGTCGACGTGAGATGACTTACTAAATTGGAACATATTGGTAGCATTACCTCAAACAAAGCTTCAGCTAACATAACAATTCTAGATATGTTGTCTCTTGTTCTGACATGATTGTCTGAATTAGCTTCACGCATACTTCTACGACAGCGGCAGTGGCCTAATGTATGTTGGCTAGATGAAATACAAGATCTTGCATGTCCAGAGAAGTTCTCAAAATGGCTTCCTAGCCTTCGAAGCGCATGTACCTACAAAAAGCATTTTAAAGCTATTGTTTACAATTGAAATCACAAATACTACATGGGAGGGGTGAGGGATAAAAATAACACCAGTAAATCAGTACCCCGTGCATTTTATCTCTTGAAATTTCTGTCAGGTACGTAACAAATGAGTACAGAGTGGTACAAAGAAATGCATTTATACATCACAAATAAGGTTGTAAACGAATTGAATAGTTTTTATTCCATTCGTAATTTGAATTCTAAAATGTGAATTTGAATTTGAATGAATAGAATACAAATTCAAATACGAATATGTTTTCCTATTCCAATCATTTTTTAATACGAAGACAAATACGATTATATTTGATTCAAATATATTCTAATTATATTATGTGCGAATATACGTATATTTGTTTGTTTAATTTTTTGTTTATTATATAGTATTTGTGTATAATACTTTGTAATAATTATCATACAATGTAAAAATATTAATAACATAATATTAATGTACTAAAATTAGTAGATACTTTACATTTTTTATTTTTGCTGTCACCATTATTTAGACAATGTATTTCTGCATTACTTATTTAAATTGTTGGAAAAGTATTTGATTCGTATGAAATATGTGAGGTGAAAATGGGGAAAAAGGACAAACTATACTTTATGAATTGGATTGCTTTGATAAATTTGACATTTAATTCTTTACAAATTCGAACATTCGAATACAAATCGAATATATTCGAATATAACAAACAAAGTGAATATGAAGTTAGTTTCTTATGTTTGTTTTTACTTTTTACCCTGTACAACGCAAAGGAAGACGGAGTACTACTAGGTTTTTTACATATGTTTAGATGAATTAGTCCATATTGTAGCTACAAATAAAGAAAATGGTATCAAAGAGTATCTAAAATAAATTCATTGAGATTTAGATTTCCCACAGATTTTCTTCCGTTCTGATTTTCCTTTCTATTCTTTCCCTAAAACTTTCAGGATTCCAAACATGAACTAAAGGTACTTGTTAGACATTGTACAGACCTGAGATCTTATCCTTCTTCGCCGCTCTAGGAAATTTGATATATGCTCCATGAGTTCATGATACAAGACATCTCTTCCTCTTGAAATATCATGATATGAGGAGGAACTTGAGACACCAGATGATGGTGCATGGTCAGGGCGAACTAAGTCATTCCCTTTAGATATCAAATTTCTTACTCCAACCAAATCATGACCCCTACTCACATGTCTCACCTCAATCTCTCTGTGAGAAAGACAAACCTCGTGAGGGAAACGCGATCTTCGAAGAACTCTATCACGAAGTCTACCAACACTCAACGTTCTGCTGAATTGAATGTTCCTTCCAGCAGGAGCAGCACGAGATGTGGTTCTATTACCAACTCTTCTCTCAATACTATGAGTACAACTTCCTAAATGTTGGTTGTGTTGTGAATCATCTGTGTGGTTGGAGGAAAAATCTTGACTTATTTCCCTACGAGATGATCCATTACCAAAGCATGCGGGGAACAAATCACAATTAGATGGCCTCACGCTTCTGTTAGCAAACCTAATGGGTGAACACGAGTGAAGATGAAGAGCATTTTCGTTGTTTGAAATCACAAAACTTGTTGAGGATGAAGGAGGAGCTTGATATGATGATGATCCTGATTCAAATCCTCTGCTTAATCTATAGCTGATATTACCATCCGGAGTGGAAGCATCTGAAGAAGAACCAAACACTCTGGGCACAATTCCATAACATCTTGATTGACGCCACTCATCAAGCTCCACATCAGAACTCACATTGTTATCATCCGGCTGATCTGTTTTATCGTTTTCATAACATTCATCTGTTTCTACTCCAGACACATTTTCATGCACACTGGGTGCAGTGCTAGAATTTCAATTGGACCCGTGTTTGGATATCTGCAGCTTGCATCATTAGTTTTTTTTCTCAAAGGAATCCATTTCATCCAAAGGTGAAAGGTAACGTGAATAGCAATTTGTACGGAATGTGCAGTGCTAAATTAGTTTTTTGTTTTTGTTTTTTGTGAAAGTTTGGGTTCAAACTAGTTGCCAAAGGCTCAAAGCACAAACAATGTATTTTACCATCCGAGCTAGTAGTTCGTTCAGAAAATTAATTTAAAAGAAAACAGACAGATGATTTGTGTATGAAAAAATAGGTACCTGTGAGCAGTCACTGTCAACGCCGGTAGATCTGATACAAGATGACCGGAAAACTCAGCTTCGGCCGGATAGAGTCTTCTTCCAGACAACTGAAGACGGCGACGGGGAAGCGGCGGTAGGATTGGACTTGCTGCTACTTGAACCCATCTACCAAATCTAATCTATCTGTTTCTTTTATTATTGATTAATTAATAACAAGCAACACATCTCAAATTTTCCGCCACATTCTTATGTTTCACGACCACTTAACATTCAAGTTTCATTCTTTCGTATTCATTCATCATGATGCTAATTTAAATTTTGTGAACAGAAAGGCGGAGAAAAGGCTTATTATTGCAACCATCATAACTTGGACCCCGAATTTTAAGTTATATTCTAAATTAACCCCAATTTGTCAACAACAATGTCTTAATTTCCCGGCAACATGTCGTGCAATCGTTGTAGTCAAAGACTTTTGAATTTTCAGGGACCCACTTTTTTGTTGTCGCGAATCTCATTGCCCCGCGAGATACGAGTGCAACATGACATGGTGAGCATCATGTTCCACACCCCAAAATCGACGTAGTTTTGATTAAAAAACAAAAAATCGCGTGAACAGTATGCGTGTATAGTAACTCTTTTTTTATTATCATCCCAGCAACATGAATAATGTAACTTGTGTATAATTAGATGTAACTCATGTTGTTACAAATGTAACTTCAGTCAGCAACAAATGTAACTTGTGCCCTGAAATGTAACTCATGTTTAATGAAAAAAATAGACACTAATTATCCAATTATTTTACCTAAATAGTGCATATGTTTTGTTTTTTAAATTAGGTCCATTATAATAAGAAAATCATTTTTGATTGAATAACATAGGTTTTTTTGTTGTGTAACTCGCATTGTTTTATGGTGTAACTCGCACAATGTCAAATGTAAATCAAGTGTAATCAAGATGTAACTTATACAGAAAAAATGAAACGTAAATCGTGTGTTACAAAATGTAACTTTAGCCAAAATGAAATGAAATGTAACTCTATAATACCAACAAAGCAAACAAATAGCAGACTAAATAATAAATAAGTGGTTGCTTTCTGTGGATTAATTTGCTCTAATATGAATATCCAAAGCCTATCAATTGGATTGATTTGCTCCATATTTGTTTACTCCATAAATGATATATCAAAGCATCAAAATGATGGAGAAAGTGATGAAGGAGGAAAAGGCTATATGACGGATGCTCTATATTTGTTTACTCCATAGACTCGAATACTCGATGCTCTGTCACGCGATGCTATATGACGGATGGGAAGTGGGAAAGGGAAAACGGCTGGAGAAAGTGATGAAGGTAAACAGTGCAGTATCAGACCTGACATATCATGGGCATGAGATGCCGGTTGTACGATATAATTTGTGACGAGACACCGAGAAAACAAAAAGAAAATTCGATTTGTACACATAATTTGTATCCACTCAACACATGTTCTTTGTGTACACAGACATTTCGTTTAGAAAACAACAACAACCATTTGTGTATACGTGCCAATGTAAAATATACACAAAATGTGAACACTTCATAGTTATCTGTGTAGATAGGCAACTCATTTAGAAAAAGGCAACAATTATCGGTGCAGACAGGAGAGTGTGCCAAGTGTGTACAAATTTTGTGTACCCCAAGAATGAATGAAATAAAAAGCATATTGATTACAGAGGTTTAAGAGCTTTGGATACATGAATGCGGAAACGTGTACGAAGATATGAAAAAAAGGAGGATACGTGTTGAGGAATATATTTAAAAATATTTAAAGTTGTGAGATTTGTATAAATATTAAAAAATTGCAATATATATATATATATATATATATATATATATATAGGGGAAAGATCAAGTACAAACTATGCTTATTGTGCAAATGTTTGTACGATGCACCTTGACGTTATTTGCATTGCATATTGAGGTTCAAAGTGTTGCATATTATATAATCATAAAATAGCAGTTGCACATTAACGTTCAATGAGTTGCACCCTAGAAAAGTTAGGTTTTATTACAAAAATGTCACCTTACCTTTATATCCTTTAGATCAACTCATTGGATGGCCAAGATAAGTTTGTACTTTGTAAATTAAGCATGGTTTGTATTTGATCTCTATTATATATATATATATATATATATATATATAGGTTTTGGTTCAAATAAGAACATGATCTTAGGAGAGGAATGAGAATGAATCTAGACCGTTAGATTTGCTTTAAGTGAAATTCAATGTGCATTAGATGAAACTGTAATGTACATTAGGTGAAATTGAAATGTGCAGTACAAATGGTACAATACAATGACATTATGTGAAGCTAAATTGTGCATTAGGTGAAATTGAAATATGCACTAGGTGAAACTGAAATGTGCAAAATAAAAGGTACGATGTGATATTAATTTTTTACATTTTATTCTGCACATTTCAGTTTCACCTAATGCACACTTGAGCTTAAATTTTTATTCTACACATTTCAATATCATCTAATGCACATTTTAGTTTCACCAAATGCACATTTTCATTCCACATAATACAATCCAACAATCCAGATTCGTTCTTATTTTTCTCATGGGAGTCCGTTCTTACCGGAACCGCTCCCTATATATATATATATATATATATATATATATATATATATATATATATATATATATATTGGTTCAGGTGAGAAATGCATCTAATGTGAGAAATGAGAATGAATCTCAGTCATTGGATTTACGAAGTTGCACTAAAATTGGCTTTATGTTGCAGTAATATTTAAATTTTGCACATGTTGCACTAAAACTGTTTCATGTTGCACTAATATTTGACGGCGTTGCACCGAAATAGCTTCATGTTGCACTAGACACGTGTAATACGGATTTTTCAGAAGTATTTACAGAAATGCCACCGTGCTAGATTGCATATTTCAGTGCATCATGAAGTGTCTTTTACTGCAACTTAGTCGAATCCAATGGTTGAGATTCATTCTCATTTCTCACCCAAAGGGTTCTTCTCACTTGAACCTTACCCTATATATATATATATATATATATATATATATATATAGAGAGAGAGAGAGAGAGAGAGAGAGAGAGAGAGAGAAATATTCAGGTCCGGCCAGGCCGGACCACTCCCCCCGTCCGGCCTCCTCCATTTGGGGGCCTTCCCGATGGTATTTTTTGCTCAAATTTTTTGTGTAGGTTCCTCATCAAGTCTAGTTTGTCCATACCAAATTTCAGCCAAAAATTCAATCGGGAAGGTCGTCAAATGATTTTTACAAGTTAACTGGTCCGGAATATGTATTTTCCAGACCAGTTAACTTCCAAAAATCATTTGACGACCTTCCCGATTGAATTTGTGGCTGAAATTTGGTATGGATGAACTAGACTTGATGAGGAACCTACACAAAAAATTTGAGCAAAAAATATCACCGGGAAGGCCCCCAAATGGAGGAGGCCGGACGGGGCTCCGGTCAGGTATACCTGACCGGAAGACTACTCTCTCTCTCTCTCTCTCTCTATATATATATATATATATATATATATATATATATATATGAGTAACGATCCTATCTCGGCAATTGTTATAATTACCGGTAGGCGTAGCTCAACTGGTAGCGAGGGAGTGCCACAAGGGTTAGGTCCCAAGTTCAAATCCCGGCAACTACGATGAGAGTTTACTGTGCTAAAAATGCATAGGGCCTCTGCAAGTACTGGGGACGGAGCACCACTCTCTATCTGTCAGATTATGATCATAGTCCAATTTACATCCTCTCATCGTGCCTTCCGATTAGTGTTGGGGGGCCTCAGGAATGAGTAATGATCCTGTCCAGCCGAAGGGACAGGACCCGACGCCCGGCCGTCGCCATTTGGGGGGGTTCCCGTTGGAATTTTTTGATGATTTGTTTTTAGCATATTCTTCATCAAGTCTAATTTATCCATACCAAATTTGAGCTAAAAATTCAATCGTGAAGACAGTTAAATGATTTTCTGAAAACCACTGCGTTGTTTATATATATATATATATATATATATATATATATATACACACACACACACACACACACACACACACACACACACACACACACACACACACACATACATACATACATACACGGAAATGGTCAGGTCCCCACGTCCGGACAGGAGCCTTCGTCCGAACATGGTCATTTGGGGTTCTTCTGTAACACCCCCATTTTCCATCCCAAAATAGTACTTGAAATAATAGATTTATTGATAATAAACTTGATTTATTCTTTCAAAACAGATAAAAAGTTTTTGCAGCGGAAATAATATTAAATGGGAAATGGGTGTTACCGCCACATCCGGTCATCTCTTAACCGGATGCACAGGCTAACCCCAGACAAAACAAACTAAAACTAGTGTTCAAAACATAAGTAAATTAAAATGTTTATTCTTGACTAAGTTTATCTAAGTCATCTCTAAACCGCTCTCGGGAATCAAGTGATCATCAATCGACAAAGCATCATCACCTGCACAAATGAAGTGCAGAAAACAAAACAAAGAAAAGAAAACAAAAATTAGCTTTAGAGCTAAGTAAGTACTACCCAACCCCGTAAAATAATCAGGTTTGGCGAAAAATAGTTTTTCATATAATACTATATAAAAAGAACTCACTCCACCAAAATTCTCTTCTTCTTTGCTCATCTCAAAAATAAACTCTTTTTCACTAACTTCCTAGTAATTTAGAAGGGCGGTGCTCAACTTTTCGATTGAGCCCGGTGGACCGTGGTTATGGACGGCCACCCCGAACAAGTGCCGGTACCACAACTGCTCTTGCGGAAACGAAACGACTACCTTAAGTGTGCACACCCCCTAAAAGGGATTCCAAGCCCTCCGAGTAGTAAGTCGTCACGAGTAATCGGGACTCAGTCTACCAACTACCCCTGAATAAGATATCTCTGAATGATTAGGGACTACTACTATAACTTCTTCTTAAAAGGGATCATAGATCCAAATGTTACTTCAAACTCAAACTATACTTCTTAGTAGTAGCAACCCTAATCACCCTCCACATTTATCCGGATGTGGAAAACCGACACCGCGGATTTCTCCCGCGGTGCTCACCTTTTATAAAATCTTTACTTTTATCTTGATTTAAGATATACTTCAAAAGTACTTCTCAATCCCTCTAATTAGTCTCAAAGGTATTTAAAAATATTTAATACCCCAAAAAGTACTCTTAATTTGTATTCCTCAAAATCACATACTCATAATTCACAATTCACACTTAATCACATAATGCATAATAAACATATAATACGAGGAAATAATTTTGGATTGGCAGAGAAACTTACCTCAAATCC